AATTTTTTTTAATTTTTATTTTTTTGAAAACAAGATTTTGAACTGAATACTTGAGGACATATGCACTACTACCCAAAACATGAACTATTATCTCTCCCAAACTTAAAATGGATATTGTCCTCAATGGACATACATAAACACACATAGGGAAAGGAAACAACTAATAACCACAAGGTAAAGTACATATAAAAAGAATCACAAAACGAACAATGTCATGCAAAAATGATAATCAAATAACACGGTATGACACTATTTCCCCCAAACTTAAATATGGCTGTCTTCATAAAATAATATTAGAAAAAACATAAACCCCAAGGGAAGTGCAAAAATAATAAAGAATTAGAAACACACCCCTGTTTGGAAGACATGTCAATTAACAAATTCGTAAGCTTGTTTGTTGTGATTTAAAAATCCAGCACAACCACTCTCTAGCCAACACTCAACACAAGGATTCATGATGTTCTTGTTGCGGCAAACCGGCATTGTAACTTGTAACCATTAAAAACACACAAAAAAGGTCTCACTCGAGTACCAAGGATGAGCATGTAAGCACGGACTAAAAATATTATAAACTAAGCTCATAAAGTTCCTTGGCATACATAAAATAGACCATACAAAGCAAGCAAATCAAAAGCACCATAGTTCTAAAATTAAATTTCAAATTTAAGAACAAAACTCAGAAAGGAACTAGGTGACACAAGTTAAAAGGATAATCAAAATCTAAATCCAGTCTAAAGACAAACAATTATACATTTTGCACAAAAATTTTCAGCACTAGCATACAACATACTTTCTGGGGGGACATGGTATTCAAAAAAACTAGTATCATCAAGTAAATGAGCAAGGAGAAAGTACTTCCAGAATCAAAGCTATTGGATGGCCAAGTGAGGAGACATCATGTTCAAGGAGGAAAATTTCAGCACCACTTAACTTCAGACCGACTCCAGGGAGTAAAGATAGTCGCTCCGCGAAGTGCCTCAATATTACGCTCACTGTGCTCCAGACCACTTCGTAGAGTGAGATGGACCACTCTGCAGATTGCTTCAGAATTTTCACCACTCCGTAGAGTGAACGTGGCCACTCCACAGAGTCATTCAGATTTTTGGAGAACCGAGTCCAATGTCGTTTAAGACGTGATCACACTTAACAAAAGCTCTTCTTTCATCCCAGTCACTCCGTGGAGTGAACATTGACACTAGGTAGAGTCATCTGGTCTGATTTTCCTTGGAAAGAGTCTACAAAACACACAACAAAAAAACCATTTATTAGATGAAGATAAAACACTACAAAAGAAATTATAAAAGAAAGAAATGAACGAAACTTTGCTAGGCCGTTCATGCATAATATCTCATGTCTCTAGGCAACTCGGAATAACCATCCCGATACCACAAAAATGTATCATCAACTTCTCGATCATGCCTCCAAAAAGTATTTTCTTCACAAATGTCTATGATTCAACATACAAGGAAATCTACCCTTCTCCACTTTTCTAACTTCTTGGGATTCTCTTTACTTGAAATTCATTAAAATCCACATACTCATCTTGTACACCCCAAGTAATATCACCTTCAACTCCATCAATGATGTGCTCCCCACTAAGGACAATTGACTCCTCAATAGAAACAAAAGTATCTTGAACTGCTAAGTCTATGTTCTCATGCATCACACATGTGGAGAAATTAATTGAGAATGAACCACACTCAAATTGCTCTCAATTAGCGCATCTTCTACAATAGTTTCTTCAAGTTATTGGGTTTGATCAACTTCTTCTTCTACCATGTTTTCTACTTTCTCCACGTGCATTACCATCTCATCATGACTTTCCTCTTTAGTACACCCCATGAGATTAAACATTTTCTAGAGCTCTACACTTATAGTTTCATAACGTTTCTCCATTTGATAGACAATTTCTTTGAGCTCCTCAATTTCTTTCATTCATTGCATCTCTTGGAACTCATAGTCGGGGAATAAAGGTGCATCCACAGATTGAATGGGGTCATAATAATCCTGTCCATAAGAAATAAAATTTTGATTAGCAAAACTAGGATCATAACCATAACGAGTTGAATTTCTTTGGTAATCATCCCAACTATTAAAATTGGGACAACTATTCGGATAATAGAGATCTCCTGGATATGAAGGATAATTTTTCCTGATAATCTCAAATATTGGCACACTTTCTTTCAAACTTGACATTTGACTATTGCCTTCCCGGCAACGGTGCCAAAATTGATGGGTGTCAAACTTACAATTATTAACCTATTTTAAAAACAAAGTGAGTAGAAGTAGGTCGAATCCCACAGGGAGGTAAGCAAATATCAAGTTTTAGTAAATAGTGATCAAAAGAGAAAAGAATAAAAACAAACTCTTAGAACTAAGATTGTGATGCAAGCAAGTTCAATTATTTATTTCCACTTCAGTTGTCGAATCAACCCCAAGATTACAGTGGTGAATAAATGTTGGTCCTAAATATATTCTTATCTCCTTTCGAAGTAATAAAGTATCTTTATAACTAAATACAGACCTATATTTCGATGGCTGAATTAGTTATAAAGTCATTAACATTAGGTATCTCATTAGGCCACTCATGCCCTACCGGTATATTCCTATCCGACAAGAAATCATAAACTTTTACGTTTATGTCATGATTTATTCCTCCAGAGCTAAACTATACACTCTATTCCTGGTAATGTATAATTCTCAAACACAAACAATTATCGGTCCTAAATAATTGCAAGTGAAATAAAAAACAGGAAGACATCCATTGGATCACCAACAAAAAGAATTTAAGAAATCATCGAACAATATCCATGTACTCTAAATAATTGAATCAAACAAATTACTCAAAAGACATTAAATAAAACAAACGAAGTTCAGGTAGAGACAGCAAGGGGCTGCTACCCCTTTCTTTGTTGCGCGCAGAACCAAAAAGTCTTGACTCTTCCCTGCTGCAAGTCAACTAGCCAAACTCTGCCTTTGGCACTTACGTTGGTTTTTTTATATAGGAGAATTAGTGCAGCCACAATCCATATACGTTCTGGTCCAATTAAAATAAAGGACAAAATTTGATTAGTAACTTGCCCAACTTACCCACCAGCCTTAGCCTCATTCAATTTTCAGCGAAATCAATCAAAGTAACTCCAGATTTTCTTTTCTGGTCCTTCAAACATTCAGCTTCATTGCTTTCTCCCTCTAACCTCTTCACGTCTTCACTTCTGGTCCTTGAGTTCGTTAACTTTTGCAAATCAGCTGAATTTGTCCAATTTTCCTCCAATCAGCATCAATATCCTTCCCTGCAAACAAATATTTTATTCTGTGAATAGTATTTAAAACTCATAAAATCAACACAAAATCTTAAGGGAAGTTACATGAAAATGTATGTAAATATTTGACTCATGACTACCTTTGGAATAAAATTTCCCCAAAATTGAGTAAGAAAGAAAAGTTGGTTATATTAGGAGGATGCAATGGATGTTTAACCAAACAAAATGATATTGTTTGCATTAATCGATTTCGGATGGATTGTGATATTATGTGAATTGGTAAGAGATACTGGATGTTTATAATCAACAAGAAATTCTTTGATTGAGGAGATTATGGCCTTGTTTTTCTCTGTGTTGGCACATCATGAGAAAAATTAGATCAATGAGCCTTCGTTTCACTCCAGAAAAGGAAGCTTTAGTAACCACTTATTTTGTGATGAAACCAAAGTTGGTCAACATTTTAGTATTTGGTGACCAACTTTTTCACTTGGTCACGAAATTTTGGTCACATATTTAGTGACCATGACAAGAACTTGGTCACAAATATGATCACTAACTTGTAGCGGGAACACAAAAGGCCCGATATAATGACCAAATATGGTGACCAAGTAAGGCTTTGGTCTCTATTTTTTGTTTGATGACCAAGCCTCATGATCATTTCAAAGAAAAAATTTTAGTAACCACCTTTTTGATCACTATGTTATAGCAGGAAATAAGCCCACAACTTTATTTTTGCCCAATCTTTAGCTGGTCTCTAAACGTTGGATGACTAATTTTCCTGCCCAAATTTGGTGACCATCCAAAAGTTGGTCACTAATATTTTGGCAGAAATAAAATTCAACTTTACTTTTAGCACTATTTTTTTTTCCTTTTGAATTATACTTAAATTTTTATGATTTATCTAGCTTATGAGCATTTGTCATGCTTAATTTATCTATTTCTAAACATGCATTGAACAATTATTTAGAAAAAAGTATTAGTTTGGCCACAAAACCACACTTTCTCTTTATAGCGTGCTTGCTACTTGAATAAACATCCAAATCATTTATTATGGATTAAGTGGGGGTGCTAAAAAACCAGAACTGGTTAACCAAACAAAAAATCGATTAAAAACTGAACCGTTTAACCGAACCAACGATTTCAATGGTTAATCGGTTTTGAACCACTGATTAGTAGCGGTTAGTTGGACCGGTTAGTAGTAGAAACATGATATCTCTTGATTTAACTGGTTAACCGATATTTATTTTCCGTATCATTTAATTGGCATTTTGGTTAGTAATGGTTAGTTCCCTGAATAACTAATCCTCATAACCATTCAATGATATAACCGTTAACAATTTTTTTTCCTGGCGGGTGCAGGATCCATTTTATTTATCTGGAATTAAAAAAAAAGGAATGTGGCAGTGCGTAAAACTTACCACATTTTACAAAGCGACTAAAAAAGTTCAGAAAAGACTATAATTAACAATATTTTTTTTTCCGAGCGGCATGTTTTTGGATTCCCGTTGCCACTGGGCTTTTTTCGTTGCTTACGAGCTGAGATAAAATCAGGTTCTTCACCCTTCACAACTTAAGCAATGATTTTTCAAAAAAATTCTCCATGTTTTCTATCTACTTGTTTTGGCGTGCATGCCTCTGCATCTGCTAATAAGCCCTCTTCTGGATCATCTTCTTTGCACATAGACTCACTAGCATTCTCCTCAATCACATCTTCTTGCAAAACCGGTTATAAAACAACTAGCTATTTTGCTCATTGCTATTGTTATCCTCCTTTTGAACTTCATCAATTGCAACCTTCTTACTCGAATCAACTTCTAATTCCATTCTAACCAAAGGTTGTTGGTTTTCTATGAGACCCTCAGTGAAGACATTCTCTACATCATCATCATTCTCATCCAACAGAATAGTTTCACCATTATCAATTATTTGTTTAGCTGAAATGTTTTTTGAGATTTGGCAATGGACATCTTCTTTGTCAGCTTCTTTTCCAGGCTTTGACACGGCTTTCACCACAAGACAATCGGAATCCAAGTTTGAGTTATCCTGAACATCAACCAGAGTATCATTTTTCTCTTTTGTGGTCAACCCTCACGTCAAATCCACGATTCGCTCCCCCTTTTGCACTTGAGTTTGTACTTCTTGAAGTTGCGATCCAAGTTTGTCCATTTGCGAGGGCTGTATTTCTATGGCTTTAACTATTAGAGATTGCTCCTTCAAGATTTGCATCTCTAAAATGGATTCCTCATCTCCTTCTTTATTCTTCAAGCCTTCTGAAATATCTACAGTCTCTTTTCCCTTTCCTGATATAGAAGAGTAGTTAACCTTTTGCTACCCTTCAGATTTAAGTTTGTTGCCGATGCTTTGCTGTTTCAATTTCGACTGCCATCTAGGCGGTAGCTTTATGAGATTTTCTGTAGCATCACCTCCTTGCTCTTAGTCATATCAATTTGCACCTTTGCAGTTTTTTCTTGTCTACAATCCACTTCCTTGTGTCCAATCTTGCAGAATTCTGAACAATAAGATGGAATATGCTCATAGGTAAAAAACTGTTCATGCTTCTAGCCATTTTATCCAATTCTGATTGATTTTGGGAGGTCCCTTGTCAGATCAACTTCAACACAAAAGCGGGCTACTGATGCCCGTGTAATATTCATAGTAGGGGTGTGAACTTGAAGCGGCTTCCCAATAGCTGTTGCCATAGACAATACTATATCCAAATTCATGTATTCAAGGGGAAGTTCATGGAGGGAAACCCAGATTGGGACGATCGGAGGCTCCACCTTAAATTTGAAGCCTAACGTCCACTTGAGTAGTCTCATCTGAAACCCCGATATAATCCAAAAAGCTCTCAACCAACAACGTTGATAATCCTCTTCTCATTCAAAGTGGATCCATAAATGGTGGGGGTTCATCAATCCAAGATCATAGCCGCCTTAAAACCAATTTTCATAAATTCTGCTCTAATATCTACCATCTTTGGCTGGCCATAGGAAAATTTTGCAACGAGACTAAGCCGATAAGGGGCAACCAATTTTTGAAATTCATCATCTTCAAGCTCAAAACTGGTTCCTCATTAATATATATTGATAAGCCTGCAAAATTCAATGCGTTAAGCTTTTTGAAGAGGTCTGCAAAAGTGTGGGGTTGCCCAGTGGTGGCAACCGCACCAGCCATGAGAGCTGGCGTCGAGTATCCTAATGCATTACCGGGGCTGGTTGAGCGCCCGCCTGCAATCAGAGCAGCAATTATTAATAATATTTAACCAAAAATTATATTATTATTATTATTATTATTATTATTATTATTATTATTTTGTGGCAAAGAAGAAAGGGGATTTGGAACTATTTTCAGGTCCCAACTAACTCATAAAATACTCAAGGGGTCTACCAAAGAGTTATTTTATAAATTAGTCAGTGATAGATGGTACTATGCACCCAAGGGGTATACCCAAGGGATGGACATATATACCATCTAGTTCCCTAGCTTCGTCCCTCCCCAGAATTTTATTCATTCAAAAATAGAGAAGTGGTAGCATATAGACTAGCCACTATTACATCAAGAGCTTCTACTTCGAATATAGGAAAAGGATTCTTGATCTAAAATCAATAATCCTTTTACATAGCTTGGTAACTATCTAAGAAGAATGAGTTTGGGATGCCCCAGAAGCCGCTTCTTTAGCAAACCAGTCTGATACAGAGTTAATTTCTCTAAACAAATGAATAATTCAAAATCTATTCCTTCGATTAACGGAAGACATTTCCTGTAAATACAAGAAGTATCTCTAAGGAAAACCTAAATTCTTAGCTAAAGTCGAAGCAAAGACTTGATTATCCGTCTGAATCTCCACATTAGAAAGATGTAATTGCTCACATTTCCTTAGGCTAAAAAGAATACCGGAAATTTCCGCTAAAAAACTATCACCTCCTCCAAGATATCCACCTTCACCATAGATAAAGGAACCTCCACCTTGAATAACAAAACCATAACCTGCCTCACCAAGACTAGAAGAGCCATCAGTACTCAGGATATAAGCATTAAGAGGTGGGGGATACCACATAATATGCAAAACACAAGGTCGGCCAACACGCCGTACAGCTACATGGAAGTCTTTTCGGGAAAAGGAATCCTCCTCCTCAGTCTGAATTTTAAGATCATGAATCATCATCAAACAGCGTACCTGTTCCATAATGGCATGGATAATGGATGCATGACACGGCTTATCATCATCAAAAAAGACCTTAGCTTCCATAACTCCCAAAGGATAATAGAAGGTAGAATCTTTCGCAATGCACCGTAAGCCGATTTTAGATCACCGCCACTCCACCACCTTCCTAAAAAAGAGGATAAAGAAGTCGCACCTTCGATTTGAACTCTTATTAATGATGAGAAATGTTGACAAACAGCCATGGTAAAATCACATCCAGAGAAATAATAAGATATTTCATCATCATGGCTCTTGTAAAACAAACATATAGCCGGATAGCAATAGATCCCCATGTGCTATGAGTTCCGGAAATGGGAGAAGCTTGTTGCGCAATTTCCACAAGAACATAGAAACACGCAAAGGTGTTATAGAGTTCCAAAATTTTTTTGCACAATTTTCTTCCACTCCGCGCCACCTCATAGCTTCATAGGCAGATTTTACCGAAAAGACTCCTGTAGGTGTATGCTGCCAAACAAGGAGATCATCCTCTTCCATGAAATCTTGCTCATAAACCATAAGGAAGTGAAGGATCTCATCAGAAAGAGATGGCTGCAATAATGGAAGGTAATGCTGCCGGTTCTGGAAAAATTCCCGAATGCTTAGGTCCGGTAAAGATGGTTCCAGTCCTTGAATGTCCCAAAGGACTCCAAAAAGAGCTGTCTCCTCTACGAACAATGACTTTTGTGTGCTCAACAGCCCTATGCTCCATTTTAGAAATTCTCTTCCAAGAAGTCTTGTTTTTAGATGTAGTAGATAAAGAGAGTCGAAACCTACTCCATATTATGGTTTTTTTCTTCATTTTCCACCATAATTTGACAGTCAAGGCATCAATGAACTCCTGAAAGCCACAAATCCCCAAGCCATTTTCATTAACCAGGAAGGTAATTCAATTCCATGATCTCCAATGACGTCGAGACTTTTCATTCATACCCTGCCAGAGAAATTTTTGACACCTTTTTTCAATCTCTTGAATGACCGACTGTGGAGGAGGGAGGGCCGAGAATACATGGACTGGAATGGATGATAAAACATTTTTGATCAACACCAAGTGCCCTACCTTGACTAAGCATCTTGTTTTTCCAACTAAGAAGTCTTCGATCAAGATGATCTAATAAAAATTGGAAACTGGACACTATCCTTCGGCCTAGATATAATTTGCAGCCAAGGTAAGAGAAAGGAAACGTTCCACACTGAATGCCAAGCTCCCTTTGAATTATAACCCCTTCTTGCATTACAATTCTCTGCAACTATAAAAGAGCTCTTTGGCCGACTCCCCTTTTGACCCGAAGCAATCTCATAGTCCATTAGAAAACCATTTAATTCCTTCAATGATCTCTTTAGACCCCTTGAGAAAATGATCACATCATCCACAAAGGCAAGATGAGTAACTGGCAAGGAACCAACCGGAGTACCATAGGCAGCCACCCTACCTAGCGCAACTAGAGATTTAAGGCGTGTTGTCATAGCTTCTGAAATAAGAATGAAGAGATAAGGGGACAACTGGTCTCCTTGCTTAATACCTCGAGAAGACTTGAAAAAACCAGCCGAATTTCCATTTATCATAACTAAGAACCAAGCATCCCTCAAGTTATTCATTACCAAAGCAACAAAATGTATAGGGAACCCAAACTTGATCATCATCTTTTTCAAAAAAGTCCACCTTACTCTATCGAATGCTTTCATCATAGCACAAAATTCTCACCTTCCGCTTTGCGCCCCAAGAATTGGCAAAGATCATGAGCTAGCAAAACATTATCCATCATGTCCCTCTCGTGCAAAAAGGCAGATTGCTCCTCAAAGATTATTCTTGGCAGTACTATCTTGATTCTTTTCGTTAAGATCTTAGTAAAAATCTTTTTCAAGAAGTTACAGAGGCTAATAGGTCTATAGTCCGCAAAAGAAGTAACCACAACCTTTTTTGGAATAAGAGTGATCAAAGTACTTGAAATTGACCTAGGAATAGAGATGCCAATCATGAATTCTTGGCAAGCTTGCTACAAGTCATTCGCAACAATTCCCCAACAACTTTTATAAAAGGTTCCCCCAAAGCCATTCACACCCGAAGCGCTATCTTCACTAAGATTGAAAACAGCTTCCTTGACTTCCTCAAGCAATATAGGCCTCATTAAACTGCGCTCATCATCATTATCAAGTAGACGCGGAATATGGTCAACAAACAACTCTTGCTTTTCATCACAAAACGGATCAATATCTTTGTCAATCAACAAGGCCGAGAAGAAGGTAATCGCCTCTTGTTTAATATCCAGCGGACTTGTCAACATTTCCCCATTCTCAAACTGAATTTTGAAGATACCTTGCCGCCCCCTCCTTTCTTTCAAAGATGCATGAAAGAAAGAGGTGTTAAAGTCCCCTTCCTTCATCCATTTTACTTTTAGTTTTTGAGTCCAAAAGTCATTATGTTCCTTGATCCTCATGAACAAATCAGCCTTGGCAGCATGCAACCGCACCCTATCATAAATTGCACCCGTTGTATCATATACTCCTTCAAGATCTTGGACTTTCTTTGTACCCTATCATGAATTTCATATTATTATTATTATTATTATACTACAATTTTTTAAACTAGAAAAAAATTCATAAATGTTTATTATTAAACAAATATTTTATTGGTGGGGTCTCTTCGCTTAGCACCAACATCCCCTGTTTAAGGTCAAAACAGAGTATCATGATTCATGAGAGCAGTGAGTCCTGAGTAGTGAGGAAGATACAACAAGCTGGTGGTAGGAAAAAATGCAAAAAGAGGGGAGTGCTAATGGCTGACAATGGGTCTCTGTTGGCTTCTGAATCTGGTTCATCTATCGAGGTTAAACCACTGATCACTATAAGGAAGAAGATGAAAATAACAGTGAGTTGGGCACTTTTATAAGTCATCTTCCAGTTTGTGTTTTTGCTGCAATGATTAGTTGACTTGACCGGAAAAGCTTGTAGGATTTATTCCAACACAATAAGATGTTACTGCAAACTACTAAGTGTTAAAATGAATGAAAGAAAGAAAATGATTTCATGTTTCTTTGTCCCACATGGATGGAAAGAAACACTTGAACCCAACATATATGCTCCATGTGCTACTCCCTTCATCACCAATTGGTTTTGAAGTGGAACCACATGTGGGCTTATATTTGGGCATTCAAGACGTTATCAGAGTGGGTTTTAATCCGCGGACCTGTGGGACTTGTGGGGTGAGGTGGATTGACCCAGATTCGATCTTGAAACTTTGGTCAACCCAGGAAGAAATTTGAGGTTTGACTTTAAACTTTGACTGGCCCGGCAGACGACGGTTTATCCGGGAAAATAAGCGATCGCAAGATTAAAAAAAAAAACAGAAAAAAATATAAAATTACCCGTGCAAGCCCATTGAGCTTGAGAGGGGCGTGTTAAAATGAATGAAAGAAAGAAAATAATCTCATGTTCGCTTGTCCCACATGGATGGGAGGAAACACTTGAACCCAACATATATACTCCATGTGCTACTCCCCTCATTACCAATTGGTTTTGAGGTGGAACCACATGTGGGCTTATATTTGGGCCTTCAAGACTAAGCTAAGAGGCAACCCAAATATCAAGCAAGCATCATGTCCATGCATCGTCCAACGACTGGATATGCTCACCGGAGCCGCGATGTTTGGTGGTGGCTTAATACTGTCGATTACATGCTCTTTATGTAGAAGTTCCATGTAAATAAAAACAAATGCAACAAGCCTACAATGTGATATGTGCATATAACACATTTAAGAATAACAAATAAAATGATAATTAGTTAAATGAAGTTGAAGTTTAAGCAAAAACAACTTTATTTTTTTTAAAAAAAGTAATACATTTGATTCAAGTTGAGTGTATGTTTAGTGCTCAACATTCAAAAAATTTATTGGTATAGATGACAAACAAAATTAAAACATTATTTGAATTGATTGTATATGTACTTTACTACTTTTCGTTGGAGCTAGTATGCATGATTAGATATCATATATTGCTTGAAACCTTGAACCATGAATACTATAAGTTACTAATTCATGTTTCAAAATACTTGATGATAAACAATATTTGATTCCATAAATACATTATACTTTATCACTTAAAATAATTTAACAAAATATACTACTAACAAAATATATTTTACAAAATATATTACAAAAATGTGCCCTCTATATAAGAGTTATAATAGTGCACCCTATATAATAAAAATTATTATAAAAGTTATACTATCTTTGTCCCAAAATGATTGTCTGTTTGGATTTTTACTTTTAATACAGTTGGTATTTTAAGTGAATCCTAAATTAAACAATCATTTTGGATGGAAAGCCTTCGTGGGGATACTAAATTATAGAAATTGTTTTAAATTGAGATTTATTTGGGTTAAAAAGTAAATAAACATAAAAATATGGGATACAATGTGAGGAGTCAAAAATTTTAAGAATTTCAAAGGGCCTAGATTAGAAAATGAATAAATAATTGAACAAAATTTGATCACTAGATTAGAAAATGAATAAATAATTGAACAAAATTTGATCACTTTTTGCAATTCGCAAATCAGAATCCCACTACAGCACTACTCCAACCAATAAGATCCCAAAATCCCATTTTCCCTTGAATCCACGAAACTAGAAAGAAAGAATTCATTTCTCCCCCAAATTCCGAATTTCCAATCTTTATATTATGCCAATGATTCAGTATCTAATTGCATTCCAGCAAATCATATCCTCTACTCTATTAGAGTTTTCCAAAGAAACAAAATTTCAAATTTCCAATTTCCATATACTAATTCGGAAAAAAAATTGAGTATAAGAAGCACCTTGTGTTGGATGTTCCAACTAGATGGAATTCTACCTATTTGATGCTAGTTTCGGCCTTAGAATCTGTAATTTTGTTTTATGCATATGTTGAGAGTAATAATGCAATGATTGAGTCTTTGGCTGATGATAAACTTCGAATTCCATGTGAACTTATGATTGGTCAAATGCTAGAATGTTTCTGGCACAAAGTATGTAACTTCGAATGAGTTCTTATCATATGTGAGCTTAGTGCAT